TCTTCTTTGACCTTGTCTAGTTGCCAGCTTCTTCTTGGACACCTACTGAAAGAAATCGAAGAGAATCCAGTAGCTGTTGATCTTGCTGCAATGGTTGAAGTTTTAATAAGGAACTGTAGCGTAATATCAGGTAATTTGAAAAGAAATTAGGATACTTGAACAATTTACCAATGCAGTCATTATTATTTTGGGTTTCAGCTTTTGATCGCAAACAGACTTTACCAGCCCTGACACCTGTGCACAAAATTAGTGATCAGCCTTTAACTGCTCCACCACCAGCTCAAACAGCCACTACAAGCGAGTCCGTTACAACGCCTTCAAATATTTCTAATCCCGTCATGAATAATTTGTCGACACTTAATCCCAAACATAGTTCCAGTCAAATCCTAAATGACGTGGGGTCTGCAAGTAGCACTCGAGCCACATGTACCGGAGAGCGCTTGCAGCAGCTTACTGCATTAGTCTGGCTCAAAACATTTTTGAAATTGGATAGACAACGCTTACTTTCGTATACCGATGGTATCATCGGCGCCGTATTACCAAGTTTCGCATTTGGGATGCCCAACGCGCCAGCTGACAAAGATGGAAGAGGTACTAAATTAATGATTGCGCATTATTTTATGCATATGCTACTTCCTAATATTCTTGTTTCTCTTTTTTATAAAGGGGTGACCGAACAAATATTATGCTTATTACCTTATCATTTTAAAGGTTACATTTATAAAATAAAATAGTTATGCGAGAACACATTGACCAGCTTTAGTCATGTTGGGGTTTTAGCTTCAGGTGAATATGTATACCAAACAAAAGGTAAAAATTGTAAATAACGGAGTAGAGTGCAGCAAAAAAATTCTACTGAAAGTGACTATGAATTCTAGATATTATGATCTGCTATGCCTTTTTATAAAAAGTTATGATAATCCTGTAAACACTGATATATTCAATCATCCGCTTCTCTTTTTGGATTTTTAACTACACCTTGTCGTAATTGAAGCTCTTCCGCTAGCTGATGACTGATGGCCATTAATTTGGATATGCCTGGCGCCCAGACATGACTCGATCAATCAATACTCATTTTGAGATTATATATAGATCTTAAGAGAACTGAGTCTTTTAACCAAGTGGCAAACAAAAGCCAAAGCACTTTATAGCTACTTACTTTATTTTCACATATGTTAATCATTA